AGTTTTGGAGTGAGATTAATAAGTTAAGGCTGCCTAGGGAACAAATGGATTTGACAGTTAAAAATAGGAGAGACAGTTAAAAATAGGAGAGGAGAGTTATTAAATGGAGAGTTAGAGGTATCGGAAAGATGGAGGGAATATTCTGAGGAACTGTTAAATGTTAATGAGGATGGGGAAGCTGTGATTTCGTGTATAGGGCAAGAAGGAATAACATCTTGTAGGAGTGAGGAAGAGCCAGTTGTGAGTGTGAGGGAAGTTTGTGAGGCACTGGGTAGAATGAAACGGGGTAAGGCAGCTGGGATTGATGGGATAAAGACAGAAATGTTAAAGCAGGTGGGGATATACTTTTGGAGTGGTTGGTGTTATTATTTAATAAATGTATAGAAGAGGATAAGGTACCTAGGAATTGCCAGAAAGCGTGCATAATTCTTCAGTATAAAGGCAAAGGGGACAAAAGAGAGTGCAAAAATTATAGGGGAATAATTCTGTTGAGTATACCTGGTAAAGTGTATGGTAGAGTTATTATTGAAAGAATTGAGAGTACGATAGCAGATGAACAAGGAGGCTTTAGGAAAGGTAGGGGGTGTACAGACCAAGTGTTTACAGTGAAACATATAGGTGAACAGTATTTAGATAGGGCTAAAGAGGTATTTGTGGTATTTATGGATTTGGAAAATGCATATAACAAGGTGTATGGGGGGGGGGGCAATGTGGCAGATATTGCAGGTGTATGGTATAGGAGGTAGGTTACTGAAAGAGGTGAAGAGTTTTTACGAGGATAGTGAGGCTCAGGATAGAGTATGTAGGAGAAAGGGAGATTATTTTCCAGTAAGAGTGGGCCTTAGACAAAGATGCGTGATGTCATTGTGGTTGTTCAATATATTTATAGATGGGATTGTAAGAGAAGTGAATGCAAAGGTCTTGGCAAGAGGTGTGGAGTTAAAAGATAAAGAATCAAACACAAAGTGGGAGTTGTCACCATTGCTCTCTGCTGATGACACTGTGCAGTTGGGGGATTCTGAAGAGAAGTTGCAGAGGTTGATGGATGAATTCGGTAGGGTATGTAACAATAAAATTAAAAGTGAATATAGGAAAGAGTAAGGTGATGAGGATAACAAAAAGATCAGGTGATGAAAGATTGGATATCATATTGGAGGGAGAGAATATGGAGGAGGTGAATGTATTCAGATATTTAGGAATGGATGTATCAGCAGATGGGTCTATGAAGGATGAGGTGAATCATAGAACTGATGAGGGAAAAAGGGTGAGTGGTGCACTTAGGAGTCTGTGGAGACAAAGAACTTTGTCTGAGGAAGCAAAGAGGGGAATGTATGAGAGTATAGTTATACCAACACTCTTATTTGGGTGTGAAGCATGGGTGATGAATGTTGCAATGAAGAGAAGGCTGGAGGCAGTGGAGATGTCATGTCTGAGGGCAATGTGTGGTGTGAATATAATGCAGAGAAATCGTAGTTTGGAAATTAGGAGGTGCTGGATTACCAAAACTAATATCCATAGGGCTGAGGAAGAGTTGTTGAGGTGGTTTGGATATATAGAGAGAATGGAATGAAACAGAATGACTTTGAGAGTGTATAAATCTGTAGTGGAGGGAAGGCGGGGTAGGGGTCGGCCTAGGAAAGGTTGGAGGGAGGGGGTAAAGGAGGCTTTGTGTGTAAGGGGCTTGGACTTCCAGCAAGCATGCATGAGCTTATTGGACAGGAGTGAATGGAGACAATAGGTAGTAGGTTGGTAGACAGCAACTGCCCAGGGAGGAACTACCATCCTGCCAAGTGAATGTAAAACAAAAACCTGTAATTGCTTTACATGATAGTAGGATTGCTGGTGTCCATTTTTCTGTCTCATAAACATGCAAGGTTTCAGGTATGTCTTGCTACTTCTACTTACACTTAGGTCACACTACACATACATGTACAAGCATATATATACACACCCCTCTGGGTTTTCTTCTATTTTCTTACTAGTTCTTGTTCTTGTTTATTTCCTTTTACCACCACGGGTAAGTGGAACAGAATTCTTCCTCCGTAAGCCATGCATGTTGTAAGAGGCAACTAAAATGCCAGGAGCAAGGGGCTAGTAACCCCTTCTCCTGTATATATTACTAAATGTAAAAGGAGAAATTTTTGTTTTTCCTTTTGGGTCACCCCGCCTTGGTGGGATACGGCCAGTGTGTTGAAAGGAAAGAAAGAATGGAGACAAATGGTTTTTAATACTTGATGTGCTGTTGGAGTGTGAGCAAAGTAACATTTATGAAGCGATACAGGGAAACAGACAGGTCGGACTTGAGTCCTGGAAGTACAGTGTCTGCACTCTGAAGGAGAGGTGTTAATGTTGCAGTTTTATAACTGTAGTTTAAAGCACCCTTCTGGCAAGACAGTGATGGAGTGAATGATGATGGAAGTTTTTCTTTTTCAGGTCACCCTGCCTTGGTGGGAATTGGCTGATGTGTTAAAAAAAAAAATACATCGCATATAAACATTGCATGTTTATATGTTATGTAACATGTTTCTTACATAATTTTGAAGAAAATATCATAGGTGGATTAATGAAAATGTCTATATTAACGTAAAATAAGACATTTAATGTGCCCAAGAGTGAGTCACGAACATATGAGAGGCCAGGTGGACACATTCGATGCCATCGATTTCCGAGCCGATGTATGAAATCCGGGGGAAATTTTGCTGAAAAGAGTGCTCGAAATCCAAACTGTACGATTTCCGCACTGGACGAACACCAGGGGTCCACTGTATATAATATGCTGCATATCACAATACATTTCCAATAACCTGAAAGACGGTTGGCAAATGCTGTTTGAGGTCGCCAAGGACTTCATTGGTCATTTGAGAAATAACTATGAAAAATGTGGAATAACATTTAACTCATTTAACCCTTTGACTGTTTCGGTCGTATGTATATATCGTCTTACGAGGTACCGTGTTTGACATATATATACACCTACCATCCGACTTACGACCGAGTTCGGTTCCAAGAAACCGGTCGTAAGTCGAAATGGTCGTAAGGCGAACTTTACTACTGAATATCAACATCACATTTTTGTAATGACTTTATTTTATTGTTTTATTTTCGTATTCATGCTTTACTTTACTTTTTATGCTGTTAGTACTGCATTTTATACTGTAAGGTTTAGGATAAACACTGTGTACAACACAAATAGTTGTTTATTTCCCAGAAATTTGAAATAAAAAACATGGTCATAAGTTGAGTGGTCGTAAGTCGAGCAGGTCGTAAGTCGGATGGTAGGTGTACTCAAATTATGGCGGCTTCAAATCAAGCAGGAGAAAGCTGGTAGGCCCACATGTGAGAATGGGTCTGTGTGGTCAGTGTGCACCATATAAAAAAATCCTGGAGCATGCAGTGCATAATGAGAAAAAAAAACTCTGACCTTTTTTTTTTAATTAAAATGCCAACTTTGTGGTCTATTTCTGTATAGTATTTATGGTTGTATTCTCATTTTCTTGGTCTCATTTGATAGAATGGAAAACATATTGTAGAAATAGAGGTGATTTTGATTGGTTTTACTATAAAAAGAACCTGGAAATGGAGCTCAAAGTAGGGGAAATGTTTGATTTTTGCCGATGTTCAAAAGTAAACAAATGATGTCATTGTCCAATAAATGTCCAACTAGCCATTCCAATATGCAGTCATGAATGGATTGATATTATATGTACAATTATTACAGTGTTGCAGTAGTCTGCATAACAGTAAATCTTCTATTTTTTGTTTGAATAAAAATTCAAAATAGAAAGCAAGAGTTATAACAGAGGGGCCTGGAGATGTGACTGATGAACAAAGAAAATGTTATTGTAGAGCCAGGAATGTCTGTATTATTCATTCTGGACCTTATTTTGAAGTTGTCATATTTTTTAATTTTCGTGAAATTGGCCAAACTGCAAATTTCTGACAACGTTATTGGGTAGTTGAAATCGGTAAATGGGCAGTTTCTTGTACTCAATCGATAGAAAAAATGACGTTCTAAAGAAATAGCTATGAGTTTGGTCGATTGGAACAATGGAATTAGTCAAAAATAGGGCTCAAAGTGGGCAAAATCGCCGATTTGTAAATATTGCCAAGGTTGCTAACTTCGCGAGAGCGTAATTCCGTCAGTTTTCCATCAAATTTCATTTTTTTTTTTGGTGTCATTACAATTGGGAAGATATTCTCTATCATTTCATGAGAAAAAATATTATATATATTTTTTTTTTAAATTTTGCGACACCAGGAGACACCTCAGGATTGGGGGTTGCAACAGTCAAGGGGTTAAAGGCTTGGAGTGAAGAGCCCAATATGCTCTAACCCTTAAATTGTCTATAAACATAGATCTTCGTTCACACGCGCAGCGCTCCGAACGTAGATCTACGTTTTATTTTACATACTTTCAATCTTGGCATGATAAGCCTGAGTTGTCTAGACATGAGAGAATGGGTCTGTGCACTCAGTGTGAACAGTGTGACAAAATTCGGGGATGCTGGGAAAAATGTACTTTATTTAAAAAAAAAAAAAAAAAAAAAATTCAGAGCACTACGCAAGTGAACGTAGATCCATGTTTGGACAGTTTAAAGGTTAAGTTCAGTGCCATTCTACATTTTTCCTTTTAATTTACCTTGGCGATCATGGTAAGTGCTGAGTGACCTCAACTTCTTTTGTAAACTATTTTTTCAGTTTAAAATTTTACGTTTCTTCTCTTTCGGGTTACCCTGCCTCAGTGGGAAACGGCTGATGTGTTAAAAAAAAAAATCAATTTCTGGAACAGTGTTTTAATTTTCAATTTTCAATTTTCATGGAACATGTGAATTTCTTGCCATGTACAGCACAGTATATATATTTTTTATAATCTATTTACTATAATAAACATAGCATACTCCTACAAAATACTCCTACAAAAATTTAGATAATGCTTGCACACACAAATTCTTGATTTGTTTTAACCTCAAAATAAAATGCTGTATGCTACTTTTTCTTACCTTATAGCAACTGGGTTAACAAGAGTCCGGGGTTCATAAATATGCTCAACAAAGGCTTTGAGGGGTGAACACAAATGGCCCAGCATGAAGTAATAAGCTACCCACTTGAACAGATCTTGGCCACGAGGATATTCTACCTCCACCTCCGAGATATCCCACACTGCTGGACCTGTCATATACATAAGGACACCGGTCATTACACATCACCCAATTTATATAATAAATATGAGCAATACATCTTCAGGAGTGCATAGATATGCAGATTTTTTTTTTAAAACATACCAGCTGTCTCCCACTTAGGCAGGGTGACTCAAAAACGAAGAAAACTATAAAGTTTATCTTCTTTTTACATTCAAAAATTTGTATACGAGAAGCGGTTACTAGCCCCTTGCTCCAGGCATTTTAGTTGTCTCTTACAATATGCCTGGCTTATGGATGAAAGATTCTTTTCAACACTGACCCTAAAGTGACTGCTAATTTGAAGTAAAGACATTATAGCTTAGCATAGTACCACTTCATGTAGCAAGCTTAAGATTAGTGATCTAATAAACAGTCAATCAACAAAACCACACTAGCTTCATGAACTGCTTTTTATAACCTCCTTATGAAGAAGAGGTTTATGTGTGTTAGCAATAATGTACAAGTAAAATACTTTGCTCAATAATGAATAAGCAAAAATTATTACTATACAAAAAATTAATTTCTCTTTCTCACTGATTTACATTATAATAAAAGGTAAGAACTCTGTAGTCCTGGATATAAGTACCAAAGGAGGCTTTTCTGTGGCAAACTATTTGATCCCTGTCAGCATCGTAGCGAGGCTCAGGAGACTCCAAAGGTGGTGAAAAGGTGCAAAGGTTTGGTGCAAAGACTGCTAGCCATTCTGGCTCGATAACTGTTACATCTGCAAACAAAAAAATATACTTATAAGTAAGAGTATCTCTAAATTTAAAAAAAAGAAAAAAGAAAATGAGCAGTGCACCTAAGGTTGTAAGAAGGACTCTTGCATCAAGTTTGTATAAACTAATAAAAGTTATACATGAAGAATTACACACATACACAAAGTATCTTTCATTTATTTATTTATTTTATTTATTTATTAATTTGAACATGATACAGAGTAGTACAAATGAATACAGTTAAGTGCAACATGCCAAAGCCCCTTGTATGCAGAGCATTATGGGCAGGCTTAAAATTAACTTAAGATTAATAACTGATGAAACACAACATCAAGCATTAAAATTACTTGTTACATAAATAAGCTAGAGAAGCCTCAATAATTAATTAAATGAGGAATCTGAAAAGGACCAAAGACCAGGACAGCTTTTTTTGTTTTTCTTAACACATCGGCAGTATCCCACCGTGGCAGGGTGATCCAAAAAAGGAAGAAACACTTTCACCATCATTCATACATAATCACTGTCTTTGTAGAGGGGCCCACATATGACAGTTCAAATGTCACTCAAAACAGCCAATATCCCAAACCCCTCCTTTAACCTTTTGACTGTCGAGGTCGTATATATACGTCTTACGAGGTACCGTGTTTGACATATATATACTCATAAATTCTAGCGGCTTCAAATCAAGCAGGAGAAAGCTGGTAGGCCCACATGTGAGAGAATGGGTCTGTGTGGTCAGTGTGCACCATATAAAAAAAAATCCTGGAGCATAAAGTGCATAATGAGAAAAAAAACTCCGACCGTTTTTTTTTTAATTAAAATGCCGACTTTGTGGTCTATTTTCGTGTAGTATTTATGGTTGTATTCTCGTTTTCTTGGTCTCATTTGATAGAATGGAAAACATATTATAGAAATAGAGGTGATTTTGATTGATTTTACTATAAAAAGAACCTGGAAATGGAGCTCAAAGTAGGGGAAATGTTTGATTTTTGCCGATGTTCAAAAGTAAACAAATGATGTCATTATCCAATAAATGTCCAACTAGCCATTCCAATATGCAGTCATGAATGGGTTGATGTTATTTATACAATTATTACAGTATTGCAGTAGTCTGCATAACAGTAAATCTTCTCTTTTTGTTTGAATAAATATTCAAAATAGGAAGCAAGAGTAATATCAGAGGGGCTTGGAGACGTGACTGATGAACAAAGAAAATGTTATTTTAGACCCAGGAATGTCTGCATTGTTCATTCTGGACCTTATTTTGAAATTGTCATATTTTTGAATTTTCGTGAAATTGGCCAAATTGCATACTTCTGACCACGTTATTGGGTAGTTGAAATCGGTAAATGGGCAGTTTCTTGTACTCAGTCGATAGAAAAAATGGAGTTCTAAAGAAATAGCTATGAGTTTGGTCGACTGGAACAACGGAATTAGCCGAAAATAGGGCTCAAAGTGGGCGAAATTGCCGATTTGTAAATATCGCCGAGGTCGCTAACTTTGCGAGAGCGTAATTCCATCAGTTTTCCATCAAATTTCGTGTTTTTGGTGTCATTACAATCAGGAAAAGATTCTCTATCATTTCATAAGAAAAAATAATTTTTTTTTTTTTTTTAAATTTTGCGACACCAGGAGACACTTCAGGATTGGGGGTTGCGACAGTCAAGGGGTTAAAGTGCAGGCATTATACTTCCCACCTCCAGGACTTTAAACCCTTCACAAAATATTACCCTGCTCACACTTCAACAGCTCGTCAGGTCCCAAAAACCACTTGCCTCCATTCACTCCTCTCTAACATGCTCACACATGCCTGCCGCACATCCAAGTCCCCAGCACGCAAAACATCTTTTACCTCCTCCCTCCATCCTTTCCTAGGATGACCCCTACCCCTCCTCCCCTCTACTACAGATTTATACACCCTCCAAGTCATCCTATTTTGCTCCATCCTCTCTAAATGATCAAATCACCTCAACAACCCCTCTTCACCCCTCTGAATAATACTTTCAGTAACTCCACACCTCTTAATAATTTCCACACTATGAATTCTCTGCATAATAATTACACCACACATTACCCTTAGACACGGACGGCATCTCCACAAATAATACTTAACATTAAACTGTACTTACTTCTCATGAACATTTTGTGTGTCTCATGAATTTCTTGATAAACAACCCACTTCGGCATGTCTATTCGAACAACTGAGGATGATGGCAAGAATACTGGCTCTTCCATGTCTTGAGTTCTGGTGAAACAAAGCAATATGCAATTTTAAGCAGTTACCTTATCTCCTCAGTGAAAAATCAACAAGTCAGAGGTCAGCTATGATCATAGAATTCAAGAACATGCTGCTAACCCTCTTACAAGTTGACTGGATATGTTAGAACTTTAAAGTTGGCTATATGTTGCAAACATTAGAATAAATTAATCAAAGTTAACTTTTTTGTGTAATTCAGTAAGTTTTTCATCAAATTTTATTTTTTTGGTGTTATTACCTTCAGAAAAAGATTCACTACTATGTAAGAGGAAAATTTTTTAAATCGCAACAGTGTCAACACTTATTTTTGGGGGGTCACTACAGTGAAAGGGTTAAACCATTAATTCAAAAAAAGAAACATGCAGTACAAGGGACCATAAAAAATATGTGATCATTAGGTGTTGTTGAAAATTCTGCGTATCCACCCCACCTTCTGAAGGTACCGGATAACTGAAGAGCCACTGTGATAAGCTTATACACTTAACATACACATCTACATTTATACCAGAGTAGTCATGTAGTGTACAACTATTACATATCCTCAGCAACTCAGTATACAACTATTACACATGCTCTGCTTCCGTCATAAAACCTTGCCCCTCAGTAAGGCAATACACATCTTAAAAACTTTTGGGTCACCCTGCCTTGGTGGGAGACAGCCGACTTGTTAAAAAAAAAAAAAAAAATAAAAAAGGATTTAACAGACTAATAGGGCATAGAGGATGGCCAGTAATGACGATTATGGTGGATAGATTTATTTAATAAACGTATGGAAGAGGGTAAGGCACCTAGGGATTGGCAGAGAGCATGCATAGTTCCTTTGTATAAAGGCAAAGGGGATAAAAGAGAGTGCAAAAATTATAGGGGAATAAGTCTGTTGAGTATACCTGGTAAAGTGTATGGTAGAGTCATTATTGAAAGAATTAAGATAAGACAGAGTAGGATAGCAGATAAAAATGGAGGCTTTAGGAAAGGTAGGGGGTGTGTAGACCAGGTGTTTACAGTAAAACATATAGGTGAACAGTATTTAGATGCGGCTAAAGAGGTTTTTGTGGCATTTAAGGATTTCAAAAAGGTATATGACAGGGTGGATAGGGGGCAATGTGGCAGATGTTGCAGGTGTATGGTATAGGAGGTAGGTTACTGAAAGTAGTGAAGAGTTTTTATAAGGATAGTGAGGCTCAGGTTAGAATATGTAGGAGAGAGGGAGATTATTTCCCAGTAAAGTAGGTCTTAGACAAGGATGTGTGATGTCACTGTGGTTGTTCAATATATTTGTAGATGGGGTTGTAAGAGAAGTGAATGCGAGGGTCTTGGCAAGAGGTGTGGAGTTAAAAGATAAAGAGTCTAACACAAAGTGGGAGTTGTCACAGTCACTCTTTGCTGATGACACGGGCATTGGGAGATTCTGAAGAGAAGTTGCAGAGGTTCATAGATGAATTTGGTAGGTATGTAAAAGAAAATTAAAAGTGAATATAGGAAAGAATAAGATGATGAGGATAACAAAAAGATTAGGTTACGAAAGATTGGATATCAGATTGGAGGGAGAGAATATGGAGGAGGTGAATGTATTCAGATATTTAGGAGTGGACGTGTCAGCAGATGGGTCTATGAAGGACGAAGTGAATCATAGAATTGATGAAGGGAAAAGGGTGAGTGGTGCACTGAGGAGTCTGTGGAGACAAAAAACTTTGTCTGTGGAAGCAGAGAGGGGAATGTATGAGATTATAGTTATACCAACACTCTCATTTGGGTGTGAAGCATGGGTGGTGAATGTTGCAACGAGGAGAAGGCTGGAGGAAGTGGAGATGTCATGTCTGAGGGCAGAGAATTCGTAGTTTGGAAATTAGGAGGAGGTGTGGGATTACGAAAACTATTATCCAGAGGGCTGAGGAGGGGTTGTTGAGGTGGTTCGGACATGTAGAGAGAATGGAACAAAACAGAATGACTTTGAGAGTGTATAAATCTGTAGTGGAGGGATGGTGGGGTAGGGGTCGGCCTAGGAGGGGTGGGAGGGAGGGAGGGGGTAGAGGAGGTTTTGTGTGCAAAAGGCTTGGACTTCCAGCAAGCATGCATGAGTGTATTTGATAGGAGTGAATGGAGACAAATGGTTTTTAATACTTGACGTGCTGTTGGAGTGAGAGCAAAGTAACATTTATGAAGGGATTCAGGGAAACCGGCAGGCTGGGCTCGAGTCCTGGAGATGGGAAGTACAGTGTCTGCACTCTGAAGGAGGAGTGTTAACCCTTTCAGGGTTTCCGGCATACTAGTACGTCTTATGCACCAGGGTTATTGACGTACTAGTACGCATAAATTCTAGCATCTTCAAATCTAGCGAGAGAAAGCTGGTAAGCCTACATATGAAAGAATGGGGTCTATGTGGTCAGTGTGCACAGCATAAAAAAAAATCGAGCAGCACACAGTGCATAATGAGAAAAAAACTTTGACCGTGTTTTTGGTTTAAAACAGTGAATTTGCAGTGTATTTTCGTATGGTATTTATGGTTGTATTCTAGTTTTTCTGGTCTCATTTTATAAAATGGAAGACATACTGCAGAAATTGAGATGATTTAGATTGGTTTCACAATGAAAAGTACCTTGAAACTGAGCTCAAAGTAGCAGAAATGTTCGGTTTTTGCCAAAGTTCAAAAGTAAACAAATCATGCCATGCGTCTAATACACGTCAACTGGTGAGTCTAATATTCTTTCACAAGTGCGCTGATATTATTTGTTCTATTTCTACACTAATACAGTAGTCTGCGTAACAGTATATCTTCTATTTTTTGTGAGAATAAAAATTCCAAGTGGAAAGCAAAAGAAATGTAAGAGGGGCCTGGGGACGTGACTAATGAACAGAGGAAATGTTATTTTAGTGCCAAGAATGTCTGTCTTGTTTATTCTGGACCCTATTTGGAAATTGGCATCTTTTGAAATTTGTGTGAAATTGGCAAAACTGCCAATTTCTGACCACTTTATTGGAAAGTTGAATTCGGTAAATGGGTGGTTTCCTGTACCCACTCGATAGAAAAAATAGAGTTCTAGTGAAATAGTTATGATTTTTGTAGACTAGTACACTGGAATTGGCTGAAAATAGGGCTTACGTGGGCGAAATCGCCGATGTGTAAACAACGTCGAGACCACTAACTTCGCGAGAACATAATTCCGTAAGTTTTCCATCAAATTTCATACTTTTGGTGTCATTATGATTAGGAAAAGATTCTCTATCATTTCATAAGAAAAAAATTTTCTTTTTTCCAAAAAATTTTCAACCCTGAGAACAAGTTTAGGAGAGGGCCTTTCGACCCTGAAAGGGTTAGCGTTGCAGTTTTATAATTGTAGTGTAAAGCACCTCTCTGGCAAGACAGTGATGGAGTGAATGATGATGAAAGTTTTTCTTTTTCAGGCCACCCTGCCTTGGTGGGAATCGGCCGATGTTTTTAAAACAAAGATAAGATTACTTTGCCATGATTGTAAATTCTGTAAATAGTATACTTTGTTACTGACGAATCAAATGACCTATATTTCTGTATCTTCTAAAAGCGAGGTCCAGTAAGACAAAGGTTTACTGTATAGTATTTTTTATTGCAATTTTACAGTGCAATACAATTAAAATGTTACTATGAAGCTTTCACAAAATAGGTTCATGCATTAAATGAATCTGAACTGTGATGTCAGCATGTTTCTGGGAAAAATGATTGAATAAGGAACATTGAAAGACTTTCCTCTATCTGGATCAAGCTACCTCCATGGGAGATGGCTGGTATGTTAAAAATATTAAATGTCAATAACAACATACAATTTCTAGCTACACATACAGTACTTAGCAGCAAACTAAAAATTTTCACCTGTATGCATATCTCCACTTCAGTTTGTCTTCTGGAGTCTTCAGTTCCCAATCATCCACCCGACGTGCCACATGATCAACCAAGCCTGCCAGTGCTATTTGTCGCAGTAGCCGAGCCTGAAAAAAAGGTAACAAATTACAGAATGTACATCAAAGAACTTTTAATCTCTTACACCTAATCACTGATATTATTTACTGGTTGTTTTGCATATGAGGAGTGTCAAAACTGAGCTGTCTCTATGGGCAGTCTGTGTATAAATGGTTGTGCATCATAAGAAAGATAAAATATGAGAGTATTAGGGAAGGGAGTTGGATTTTAGGAACAGTAGAAATGGAGCACAAACTGATACATGTAGATAACTCTATCCTTTTAGTAAATCATACAAAAATGTAGAATGCCTAAAAAAAAAAAAAAAAAAAAGTTATCCCCAAACAGATCCAGATATCACATTATATTTTCTATACAAAGAAAATTACTGCGCTTGCTTTAATGCATACTATGCTGAACTTTTTCTCCCCCCTAATTAATAATGTATGGTTTTAAGTACAAGGGGCTCGAGCATCCAAACTTGTCCAATCTCCTTTCAAAGCTACCCAAGATTTTAGACTCTATAACCCCACTCGGTACATCATCAGATGCAGCATTCTCCACCTGACCTCAGCACTCTGAACCTGACTATAAATACTCGCGTTCTTTCCACCCCAGGTAGTTCTGTTTGTGACTTGAAAAAGCCCACTGTGTGGGCGAAACGTAGTCAATAAAGGATCACATTATACTGCATATGTGTTTATATTTCCAGCATGTGGGTTAACATGCTGTCAGAGTGTGAGCAACATATTATAACATTTATGAAGGGATTCAGGTAAATCAGATAAGCAAACTTGAGTCCTAGAGAAGAGAGGTACAGTGCCTGCACTCTGAAGGAGGGTTGGGGATGTTGCAGTTCATAGAGTATTTCCTTTTTTTTTTTTTTTGGGGGGGGGAGGGATGGGGGACTCTACTTTGGTGGGAGATAGGTGTTATGTTGAAAAACAACAGTACTAAGAACCTATATTCTTACAATTTTTTAACAGCATAAGCAGTGTCCCTCATAAATGGCTTAATCATTACCTCTTTCAAGTTAAGCCAGTCATTTAACCAAGAATAAAAATATGTATATAATACTTAAAAGAACACTCAGTTTCAGAAATTTACCCATTTTCTAGTACCAAAAACTAGTTAAAATGCTTTTAGCAAACACTTTTACCTGGTCATCAGTAGGAGGTGGCATCTGGGGATCAAGCATCAGGTCACATGATGGGATAATTAGGTTGATTTCATTTGTCAACTGTCGCCGTAATTTGCGAATTTCAGCAATTCCTTTATATCTGTCAAGTATTTTCTAAAGTAAGTAATGTCTCTATTACATCGTAAGTCATCTTCTATGTAAGAAATTAATAACTATCCAAACAAGATAAGCACACACAAAATGCACATATTAAATAAAAATACAGTACTTTACCATTAGAGCGGACCCCCGAGTTTCGTGACTAATCCATTCCAGAGAGTTTGCCGAATGATGAAATTGCCGAATGGCGAAACCATTTTCCCCATAAGAAACAATGGAAATAAAATTAATCCATTCCAGACACCCAAAAATTAAAAAAAAAAAAAAAAAAAAATTCAAATTACAGTGGACTCCCGCATAACAATATTAATCCGTTCCTGAGAGCTCATTGCTATGCGAAATTATCGTTATGCAAATGAATTTTCCCCGTAAGAAATAATGGAAATCAAATTAATAAGAGCAAGACACCCCAAAGTATGAAAAAAAAAATTTTTACCACATGAAATATTAATTTTAATACACACAAACTGAAAAAGGCATGCACAATTACATGACATTTACCTTTATTGAAGATCTAGTGATGACTGATGGGATGGGAGGAGGAGAGAGTCTTAGTGTTTAGAAGGGGAATCCCCTTCCATTAAGACTTGAGGTGTCAAGTCCTTTTCTGGGGTTACTTCCCTTCTTCTTTTAATGCCACTAGGACCAGCTTGAGTCACTGGACTTCTGTCGCACAACATATCTGTCCATAGTGGCCTGTACCTCTCGTTCCTTCATGACTTCCCTAAAGTGTTTCACAACATTGTCAGTGTAATAGTCACCAGCACGGCTTGCAATAGCTGTGTGAGGGTGATTTTCATCCATAAAGGTTTGCACTTTCAGCCACATTGCACAGATTTCCTTAATCTTTGTAGTAGGCAACTTCTTCAATTTCTCTCTCCCCTCCTCCAAACCAGTTTCCTCAGGTCTGGCCTCTTGCTGTTGAAGTTGATCTAGCAGCTCATCAGTGGTTAGTTCTTCATTATCCTCCTCCACCAACTCTTCCACATCATCCCCACTAACCTCCAACCCCAAGGACTTTCCCAATGCCACAATGGATTCCTCAACTGGCATAATCCTCTCAGGGTTAGCCTCAAACCCTTCAAAATCCCTTTGGTCTACACATTCTGGCCACAGTTTCTTCCAAGCAGAGTTCAAGGTCCTCTTAGTCACTCCCTCCCAAGCCTTACCTATAAGGTTTACACAATTGAGGATATTAAAGTGCTCTCTCCAAAACTCTCTTAGAGTCAGTTGAGTTTCTGAGGTCACTACAAAGCATCTTTCAAACAGAGCTTTTGTGTACAGTTTTTTGAAGTTTGCAATAACCTGCTGGTCCATGGGCTGCAGGAGAGGAGTGGTATTAGGAGGCAAAAACTTCACCTTAATGAAGCTCATGTCCCCATAAAGTCGCTCTGCCATGTCTGTAGGATGGCCAGGGGCACTGTCTAACACCAGGAGGCACTTAAGGTCTAATTTCTTTTCAGTTAGGTAATCTTTCACATTGGGGGCAAATGCATGGTGTAACCAGTCATAGAAAAAGTCCCTAGTGACCATGCCTTACTGTTTGCCCTCCACAGCACACACAAATTAGCCTTGAGGATATTCTTTTGCCTGAACGCTCTGGGAGTTTCTGAGTGATACACTAATAAGGCTTCACTTTGCAATCACCACTAGCATTGGAACACATCAACAGAGTAAGCCTGTCTTTCATAGGCTTATGTCCTGGGAGTGCCTTTTCCTCCTGAGTAATGTAGGTCCTGCTTGGCATTTTCTTTCAAAACAGGCCTGTTTCATCACAATTAAACACTTGTTCAGGTTTCAGTCCTTCACTGTCTATGTACTCCTTGAATTCCTGCACATATTTTTCAGCTGCTTTGTGGTCCGAACGGGCAGCCTCACCATGCCTTATCACACTATGTATGCCACTACGCTTCTTAAATCTCTCAAACCAACCTTTGCTGGCCTTAAATTCACTCACATCATCACTAGTTGCAGGCATTTTTTTAATTAAATCCTCATGCAACTTCCTAGCCTTTTCACTTATGATCACTTGAGAGATGCTATCTCCTGCTATATGTTTTTCATTTATCCATACCAATAAGAGTCTCTCAAAATCTTCCATCACTTGCGATTTTGTTTCGAAAACACAGTTTAACCTTTGGCAAGAACAGCTTCCTTGATTGCCGTTTTGTTGCCCACAATAGTAGCGATGGTTGATTGAGGTTTATTATAGAACCTGGCCAGCTCGGAGACACGCACTCCACTTTCATACTTATCAATGATCTCTTTCTTCATCTCTATAGTAATTCTCACCCTTATTGCTGTAGGGTTGGCACTAGAAGCTTTCTTGGGGCCCATGGTCACTTATTTTGCAGATAAAATCACCAAAAACACTGTAATAATACGAAATGTTTCGATTGTATGCTTGGATGTTACCGCGGAGGCTGGCTGGTAAACAATGCCACCGGCAGAACATGTGAGGCTGGCTCAGGCCGCACATTAGACGCGTCTCGGACGAACAGCGTTGAGCGTGTTTTTTAGCGGTATGCGAGGCAAAATCTTAGCGATAAAATGTATCGGTATGCGGATTTAATGTTATGTAAGGCCAACGGTATGTGGGGGTCCACTGTAAATAAAGATTTACATACAGAAAACAATGAGTACATACATATATAAAAGTACATACATACATAAATAATATTACACTTACCTTTACTGAAGACTTCTGGGTGGATGGAAGACAGGAGGGGATAGGAGGTGTACACTATTGTTTGGAAGGGGAATCCCCTTCCATAAAGACTTCAGGTACCAAGTCCTTATCTGGGGTTACTTCCCTTCTTTGTTTTTTAATGACACTGGGAACAACTTGGAGTCACTGGGGTTTGAATTCTTCAGTGTCTATGTACTCCTTAAACTCCTGTACAAACTTCTCAGCTTCTTTTTTGTCAGAATTGGCAGTCTCAACATGCCTTACCACACTGTGTATGCCACTATGCTCCTTAAATCTCTCAAACCAACCTTTGCCGGCCTTAAAATCACAAGCATTACTTGTTGCAGGCATTTTCTTTATGAGATTGTCATGCAAGTGTCTTGCCTTTTCACATATTATCGACTGCGTAATACTATCTCCTGCTAACTGATTTTGGGTAATCCACACCAACAATAGCCTTTCCACTTCTTCGAGGGTTTGTGATCTCTTTTTTGTCAGCATATCTACCCCTTTTGCAACAACAGCACACTTTATTTCCTTTCCCAGTGCCACGATCGAAGTGATGGTTGAATGGGGTTTGCCATACATCCTGGCAAGTTCTGTCACACGCACTCCGCTTTCATATTTTTCAATGATTTTCTTCTTGAATTCAATCGTGTTCCTCACTTTCTTTACCAAAGGGCTGGCACTAGCTTTCCTTGGGCCCATGGTGACTTATTTAGCAGTTGCAAGCACAAAAAACAATGGATTATTATGAAATGTATTGTATGAACCCACAGGGCGATGGTCACGCGCTGGTAAACAATGGCACACTGAGTGTGAATAGTGTGGGAGATTGGCTTTGTTTGTGCGGTGACGGGCGGACACATACCGGATGGTCGCCGAATCACGAGTTCAATCATGAACTGCGAAGCTAAATTTTGCCGAAAAAAATTGCTGAAAATCGGATTTCACAAAAGTCGCAGCTGCCAAACGGCAGGGGCCCACTGTTTATCTAAAAGGATGGATTTGTAATTATTATTATTATGAAAGGGCAGGCAGATATGTCTGTTAAAAAGTGTAACTTTACTTAAGAAGTTGAGGGCCAAAGTAATCACTGCCAGTGTCTGTAATGACTGTGGCATCCCCCTCCCTCAGGAAAGTATGTCAAACACAATAAATACTATAGTGCAGAACATGATAATAATGTAATACTGTACTATTCCTAAATATTGTGAGAAATGCATGGTATGGATTTCTGTGAAAACATCTTTTAATCAGAAAATATTACAGTGAACTGTATCCAGTATTTCAAGTTCTAAAGGTAAGACAAGGTAAGAATATGATAGAAATTTATACTATAAGTCAAGATGGTTTGATAGGTTTGCTAGGTGTAATACCATTCATGTGCTTAAAATCAGTGGCCTGGCTGCTAGCGCTGATAAAGAAACTGCAGTTTATTTTCATCTCAATTTCTTTGAAATTTAAAAAAATTAAATCACTGTAAAATTTTACAAACTTTAAAATTAGAATTCTGATTCCCAAAATAATTTGCTAAGGCCTGAAACTCTAAGTGTTAAAGCTGTTCTGCTTGGCAAGAATTTTTTAAGTACTGTATACCTTTGACATACCTTTCATGAGTTCCAAGAGATTTTATACTCCAGAGCCTGGACATGGGCCAGGCTCATCTGTCTGGTACTGTATACATAGTACACATGGTCAGTCAGAAACCTAAAACACAGTTAAACTAAGTACTGTACTTGAAAATGAACTGAGCTTACAGAAGTAAAACCAACATGTGCATCTCTAACCTTAGACCATTCTTTTCACACCATTCTCGTTCACCACCCTGATACTCAGCAGCACCGACAGCTCGAAGCAATACCATGGCATCTCCCAAGCTTCGGGCATTTCCGCTTCCTGCCCATGACAAACGTAAATTCTGCCATCTTTTCCGTATATCTGAAGACAAACTATTTCGTTAGAATACTGAAAATAAAATTATATGTAATACTAGTACTTATTTTAAACTGCAAAGAAAAGACATATTCTTTCTTTCAACACACCGGCCGTATCCCACCGAGGTAGGGTGGCCCAAAAGGAAAAACGAAAGTTCCTCCTTTTACATTTAGTAATATATACAGAAGGGGTTACTAGCCCCTTGCTCCCAGCATTTTAGTCGTCTCTTACAACACGCATGGCTTACGGAGGAAGAGTTCTGTTCCACTTCCCCATGGAGGTAAGAGGAAATGAAGAAGAACAAGAACTAGAAAGAAAATAGAAGAAAACTCAAAGGGGTGTGTATATATATGCTTGTACATGCATGTGTAGTGTGACCTAAGTGTAAGTAGAAGTAGCAAGACGTACCTGAAATCTTGCATGTGTATGAGACAGAAAAAAAAAGACACCAGCAATCCTACCATCATGTAAAACAATTACAGGCTTCAGTTTTACACTCACTTGGCAGGACGGTAGTACCTCCCTGGGCGGTTGCTGTCTACTAACTTACTACCTAGGAAAAGACATATACAGTGGACCCCCGCATAACGATGGCATCGCATAGCGATTTTTCCGCATAACGATTACTTTTATCGCAAAATTTTTGCCCCGCATACCGATTAAAAACCCGCAGGGTAGGGTGTGCAAAAGAAGAAAATTAAAGGTGAATACAGGAAAGAGTAAGGTTATGAGGATAACAAAAAGATTAGGTGATGAAAGATTGAATATCAGATTGGAGGGAGAGAGTATGGAGGAGGTGAACGTATTCAGATATTTGGGAGTGGACGTGTCAGCGGATGGGTCTATGAAAGATGAGGTGAATCATAGAATTGATGAGGGAAAAAGAGTGAGTGGTGCACTTAGGAGTCTTTTGGAGACAAAGAACTTTGTCCTTGGAGGCAAAGAGGGGAATGTATGAGAGTATAGTTTTACCAACGCTCTTATATGGGTGTGAAGCGTGGGTGATGAATGTTGCAGCGAGGAGAAGGCGGAGGCAGTTGGGGGTTTGTCAATGTCTGAGGGCAATGTGTGGTGTGAATATAATGCAGAGAATTCGTATTTTTGGAAGTTAGGAGGAGGTGGGGATTACCAAAACTGTTGTCCAGAGGGGCTGAGGAAGGGTTGTTGAGGTTGGTTCGGACATGTAGAAGAGAATGGGGGCGAAAAGAATGACTTCAAGAGTGTATCAGTCTGTAGTGGAAGGAAGGCGGGGTAGGGGTCGGCCTAGGAAGGGTTGGGGGGGAGGGGGTTTAAAGGAGGTTTTGTGTGGCGGGGGCTTGGACTTCCAGCAGGCATGCTTGAGCGTTTTTTGATAGATTGAATGGAGACAAAGGGTTTTTTTAATACTTGACGTGCTGTTGGAGTGTGAGAAAAAGTAACATTTATGAAGGGATTCGGGGAAAAACCGGCAGGCCGGACTTGAGTCCTGGAGATGGGAAGTACAGTGCCTGCACTCTGAAGGAGGGGTGTTAATGTTGCAGTTTAAAAACTGTAGTGTAAAGCACCCTTCTGGCCCAAGACAGTGAAGGAGGGGAAGGGATGTGAAGTTTTTCTTTTTCGGGCCACCCTTTGCTGGTGGGAATCGGCCGGTGTGATAATAAAAAAATAAAAAAAAAAATTACCGATTTTCGTCCGAGACGCGTCCAATGTGCCCTCACATGTGCCGGCCTTTCATTGTTTACCAGCAGCCTCCGCGGTAACATCCAAGCATTTCACTCGGAAAAATTTCGTATTATTACAGTTGTTTTTCGGTGCTGTTTGTGGAAAATAAGTGACCATGGGCCCCCAAGAAAGCTTCTAGTGCCAACCCTGTGGTAAAAAGGGTGGGAAATTTGTATGGAAATTAAGAAAGGGTTTTGAAGGGTTTGGGGCTAACCCTGGAGAAGCCTATGCCAGTTGTGGAATCCATTGTGCCTACTTCAAAGATTAAGGAATGGGGGTGCAGAGTGGGTTGAACTGCAAACCTTTATAGATGAAAATCACCCTGACACAGTGTTGCAAGCCGTGCTTGTGACTATTTCAATGACAATGTTATGGCCCATTTTAGGAAAGTCTTGAAGGAACGGGAGGTACAGAGCTCTTTTGGACAGATTTGTTGTGCGACAGAGGTCCAGTGACTCTCAAGCTGGTCCTAGTGGCATTAAAAGAAGAAGGGAAGTAACCCCAGAAAAGGACTTGCTACCTCAAGTCCTAATGGAAGGGGATTCCCCTTCTAAACAGTAAGAAGATAATGCTCTCCCCTCCTCCCATCCCATCAATCATCACCAGATCTTCAATAAAAGTAAGTGTCATGTAATTGTGCATGCCTTTTTCAGTTTGTGTGTATTAAAATTAACATTTCATGTGGTAAAAAAAATTTTTTTTCATACTTTTGGGCGTCTTGCACGGATTAATTTTATTTCCATTATTTCTTATGGGGAAAATTGATTCGCATAACGATTATTTCGCATAACGATGAGCCCTCTTGCACGGATTAAAATCGTTAACCGGGGGTCCACTGTATTAAGAGAAAAATTATTGTATTGTATAAGGCAATAAAACCACTAATTTTTGAAGGAATGTATATTATAGTCCGAAAATGTGTGACAATGCTGCAGATAAAATGTAAACAGAGGAACATAAGAGCACTAGGCATGGCACAATGTGTCTCCCAGCAGTACAGTACAGAAGTACATACTTACATAATCCAGCAATATCAAATGAGCTGCTACTATAAGTACCCAAGAATTGAGACAATATATATATTATATGGAACTACTTTCACTATCACACAATATCAATTGTGCTACTATGTGCCATTTTCATTTCATAATTACCAAGAAGTAGAGTAATTATTTTTTTTAACACATCAACTGTCTCCCACCAAGGTAGGGTGACCCAAAAAAGAAACATTTTCACCATCATTCACACTATCACTTGCCAGAGGCACACAGATATGACAGTTTAGATGTCATTCTCAACAGCAAATATCCCAAACTCCTCCTTTAGAGTGCAGGCACTCTGGGATATTACCTCTCACTTGGAGGTGCAATATATATCATGAGGAAATACTTCAATTATCAAACACTAACAAACTGGCTACTGCTGTCTCACTTACCATTCACATTCTCTTTTGAATCAAGAGGAGTTTCTATAAGAACTTCAGGTACTGTAAGAGCTGCCACTAAGGCAACTGTGTATTGCAAGAGAGAATGTTGGTGACTCAGTGCAAGCATTTTGCCATACCGTGGTGCCAGAGGAAAGGCTGCCATAACTTTGCCAAGGGAGGTGATGTGGCTCAAATCTAAAGAAACAAAATTAAATAACTGTCATACAGTTAAGTGTTACAAAATATTAGTAAAAAAAAAAAAAAAAAAAAAAACTGAGTAAAATTTTTGATTTAACACAACCCACAAGATCTTTAAATACCCAATTCAAAACAAATTTTCTTTATGTTTATATTTAACTTTAATTATTTTTTCAAAAAAATGTATTATAAAAAAAATTTTTTTGTCCTGACAGGGGGTCAAGAGTACTTTTAAAATAAAATTTTTTTCCCTTTTAGCATTTTTTTTGGTTTTTAACTTTTTTGTTTTGGGTTTGGAAACCCCCTGCTGCTGTATCGGGATCGTTCCCCCCGGGGGGCCCCCCCAAAAAAAATAAAACAATCTTTTTAAACCCGGCCGTCCCTTTTATAACAGACAATTTAAAAAAATCCCAATACCAAGGGAAAAATTAATAAAAAACACTGTATACAATACAATACGTATTTTAAAAGGCGATTCGAAATTACAGCATTTCGCAAATGAGAAATTTTATAAATTAGTATATCCTTTCTTTATTTTTTTCCCAAAAAGCCCTACAATAAAAATTCCCCACCATTCACTTTTTAAGCTAAGGATGAAAAATTTGGGGAAAAGAAAATGTGTTTACCAATGTTTTTTTTTGGGCCCTAGCTCTTGCTCACTAATATATGCTTTTAAAATATTACAGGCTTTATATGCTTTTTTGAAAGTGAAAAAAAGCTATGTTTTACTAAAAAGCTTTTTTTCGCTTTACAGCATTTCCCTTTAAATTTAAACCTGGTGAAAAGCGGGGCCCGCCTGTTTTTCCAATTTTTTACAAAAAAGGGTTAAGTCAAAATCCAGGAAAAAGGGAAAACTTCTGTTCTTTGGTATAATTATGGATACTTTTGAAATTTTTTTATTAGTATTAGCACACGGGGGCCCGATTCCCCCCAAAGGAGGGGGGCCCGAAAAAAAAATTTTCACCATCATTCACCCATCACTGTCTTCCAAAAGGGGTGTTTTACACTACATTTTTTAACTGAAACATTAAAACCCCCTCCTTCAAAAGTGCAGGCACTGTACTTCCCCAAACCCCCAGGATTTCAATTTCCAGCCTCCCGGTTTTCCCCCCTTGAACCCCTTCTTAAATGTTTTTTGCCACACCCCAAACAGCACATCAATTTTAAAAAAACCTTTTTGTCTCCTTCCCCTCCTTTTCCAAACGGGCTCACACTGCCCGCGGGAAAACCCCCAACCCCCTCACACAAAAAAACCCCCTTTTAAACCCCTCCCCCCAAAACCTTTTTTCCTAGGCCAAAACCCTACCCCACCTTCCTTTCACTACAGACTGATCACATTTGGTCTTTCCCCTGTTTCACCCCATTCTCTCTACATGCCCAAACCCCCTAAACCAACCCTTCCTCACCCTCTGGACAAATTTTTGGCAACCCGGCCCTCCTCCTAATTTTCCAAAAACTACAAATTCTCGGAAATTAATTCACCCCACACATTGCCCCCAGCATGACATTCCACTGCCTCCGCCTTTCTCCCTTGCAACATTCTTTCCCCATGCTTCACACCCATAAAAAAGCTTTGTTAAACTATCCCCCCCAAAACATTTCCCTTTTTTGCCCCCCAAAAACCAAAGTTCTTTGTCTCCAACCCCTTTAAGTGCACAGCTCACCTTTTTCCTCTCTAAAATTTATAAATTTACCTCATTTTTTATGGGACCCATCCGCTGACAGTCCACCCCCAATTTCCCCTGAATACATTCACCCCTCCCTACTCTCTCCCTCCAATTGATATCCAATCTTTCATCCCCAAAATCTTTGGGGGTTACCCTCATAATTTTTACTTTTTCCCTGTATTAACTTTTAATTTTTTTTCTTTTACATCCCCTCCCAAATTCCCTCCACCACCCTCTCTCTTCTCTTCGGGAACCCCCAAGGGCCCACGTATCATCAGAAAAGAGAAATTTGTGACAACCCCCATTTTGGGTTGTGATTTTTATCTTTTAACCCCAAACGCCTCTTGCCAAAAAACCCTCGATTTACTTACTTAAAACCCCCATCTAAAATATTTTAAAAACCCAACCACAGTGAAAACCCAAAATTCCTTTTTCTAAGGCCTATTTTACGGGGGAAAAAATTCCTTTTTTTTTTTTTTTTTTGGCATATCCCCAAAAAATCTTAAATAAATCACTTTTTTAAAATTTAAAATTATTACTTTTTTAATAAAGGACTAATTTACCAAATTTTTAAATAACATTTTATTTTAAAAAAAAAAGGTTAAAAATTTTGGGTAAAAAAAGGGTTTAAAACCCCTGTAAGTAATCAGGGGGAAAGGGGGAAATGGAAAATTGATCCGGGAAGGTTCATGGACTTCATCACCAGCACCAAGTCATCAATAGGACGCCGCTAATCTCTGCAAAAGAGAACTTTTAAAAACTCATCATTGAATACCAGCAGGGAGTAGAGAGGGTTTAGCAATTTTCCCGGTGTGTTCTCCCACACGACCTGCTCCCCTGTTAGCAAACTTGTGAAGCCATGTGATGGGGAACTTTGACACTCCAGTTACTGTATCATAAAACCTCCAAGTGTAAAAAAAAAAATTAAAACCAATTTAAAAATATGAAAAGCTTTTTTTTAAATGCCCAATTTCACAGGCTATTATAACTAAATGTTTTTTTTTAATTTGAAATTTGTGGTTGAATATTATGCAGAAAATTCAGAGTGGGGAAAATTTTAGGAAAAGGTTGTGGATTTTAAATAAAAGCATTAGTCCAGGGCAGAAAGGGATTTTTTGGGGAGGTTTGGTCATTTAGAGAGAATGGATCAAAGTAGAAAGACATGGAAGCATTAAATCTCTAGGGGAAGGAAGGGGGGGTGGGGCCCTTCCTCAAAAAGGGGTTGGGGGGAAAGGGGTTTAAAGGAGGTTTTGTGGGGGGGGGGAAAGGGCCCTTTGGCTCCCACCCAACGTGCTTGAGCATTTTAATAGGAGTGAATGGAGACAATGAAAAACTTGGGACCTGATGAGGGGTTGGAGTATGAGCGGGTTAAATTTTTAAGTAAAGGGGTTTCGGGAAAACCCGGTTATTTTCATATATCGGAAATGGGAAGTACAATGCCTGCATTTTAAAGGGGGGGGTTTTGGGATTTTGGGCATTTTTGGGCCGGATATGTTTGTATTTTATACGTATATGCTTCTAAATGTTGTTTTCTGAGCACCCTCTGCAAAAAAAAAAGTGATAATGTGTTGAGTTTTGGGAAAAGTTTTTGAATGATGAAAAAAGTTTTTTTCCTTTTTGGGGGAATTTTCTTTTTTTTTGGGTCACCCGCCTCGGTGGGGGGGCCGTTTGTTAAAAAAAAAAAAAAAAATAAAAAAAAAATTATATATTTATATAATATATATAAAAATATTTTAATATAATAATTATATAAATATATATATTTTATATAATAAATATATTTTATATAAAATAATTTTATATTTTATATAAAAATATAATTATATATATTATATTTTTATATAATAATTATTTTTAATATATAATATTTATATATATATATAATATAAAATAAAATATATAATATGTAAAAGGGAAAAAAGGGGAAAGGGGGGCAACAACAAGAAAGAGGGAGGTGAAAGTGTAAAAAAACTAAGGGAGGAGGAATTTTCAGGCGGGGATAAAAGCGCTATTGGCAAAGGGGGGGACTAGTGCAAAGATGAAGGGGGGGGGTTGAAGGGGGTTTGGGAATATTTTTAAAAAAATGCAGTATTAAAAATTGGGGCAAAAAGGTTTGGGGTTTTATAGGGGGGTGGGGGCGGAGGAAAGAGGGTGTTGGGTTGGAATGATGAAGAAAAGGGGTTTTGGGGATAAAGAAAAAAAGGAAGCTTACGGGGGTTTTTTTTAAAAAGCAGAATTTTTATAAAAAGAGCAAAAAAATATGGAGAGAAAAAGAAAGGTGAAGAGAGTGGTGGAGAGTGAAAAAGGGAAAGAGCGGGTTAAAAGAGTGGGAGAGGCACGTCAAAAAATTTTTAATGAAAAAAGAAAAAATTTTTGGAGTGATTTTAAACAATTTTAAAAAAACCTGGGGGAAAGTATGGATTTGCCTTTAAAAAAACAGGTGGGGGAAACTTAGTGGGAATGGGGAGAGGGGGGGTATTGGTAGATGGCGAGAATTTTTTTGAGGAACTTTTAAATGTTGGGGGAAAGGGGGAAAGGGGGGCCCGGTAATTTCATGCACGGGCCCAGGGAGGTATCCCATCTTTTAGGAGTAAAGAAAAAGCAAAATGAAGTGTGGTGGAGGAAAACGTGAGGCTTAAAACGTAAAATAAAGGGGGAAAGCAGCTGGAACTGATGGGATCAGACAGAAATGAAAAAACCGGGGGGGATATATTTTGGGAGGGGTTTGGGTCCTTTTTTTTTAATTTAAATTTTATGAAAAAGGGGAAGGTACCTAGGGTTGGGGAGACCCATTTTATAGTCCCTTTATTTTAAAAGGGAAAAGGGGGAAAAAAGAGATTGAAAAAATTATAGAGGAATAAGTTTACTGGTCCCCCAAAGGGAAAAGTATATGGTAGAGTTATAATAAAAAGAATTAGAGGAAAAACAGAATGTAGAATTGCAGTGAGCAAGGAGGCTTCAGAGTGGGTAGGGGATGTGTAAAAATCAATTTTTAAACATTGAAGAAATATATGTGAACGGGATTTGGGAAAAAGGTAGGGAATTTTTTATTTCATTTTGGATTTAGAAAAGGCATATGTAGGTGGATAGAGGACAATGTGGCAGAGGGGTTGCAAGTTTATGGAATGGGGTGGAAGTTACTAAATGCTGTAAGAGCTTTTTTTTTTTGGGGATAGTGGGGCTCAGGTTAGGGTGTGTAGAAGAGGGGGAGAAAAAAATTTCCCCGGTAAAAGTGGTCTTAGACAGGGATGTGTAATGTCACCATGGTTTTTTTAATTTTTTTTTTATAGAGGGGGTTTGAAAAAGAAGTAAATGCTAGGGGTTCGGGAAAAGGGGGGGGATTAAAAATTTTGGGGGAAACAAATTTCCCAAAAAGGGAATTGACACAGTTCTTTTTTTAGATGATACTGTGGGTTAGGGAGATTCTAAAGAAAAATTGCCAAAAGGGTTTTGGAAGGGGTTTGGAATGTGGTAAAAGGGAGAAATTTTAAAAATTAAAAATAGAAAAAAAGTAAGGTGGAATTTAGGGGATCCCAAAAGATTTAGATAAAGAAAAAATTTTGGTATCAAATTGGGGAGGGGGGAGTTTGGGAAAAAGTGAAAATTTTTTTAAGATACTTGGGAATTTTACGTTCAGCGGATGGAAATTTTTTAAGGAAAGAGGGTTTAAACATAAATTGAATTGGGGGAAAGGGGAAAAAAAGGGAGTTTGGGGCGTTTTAGGTATATGTGGGTCAAAAAAAAGTTATCTATGGGGGCAAAGAAGGGAATTATGAAAATAAGTGTACCAAAAACCCCTTATATGGATGTGAAACTTGGGTGGTAAAGGGGGAGCAGCAAGGGGCCCGGGTTTGGGGGCCCGTGGAAAAGGGCCTGGGCCCAAAAAGGGGAATGTGTGGTGTAAATATTAGCAGAAAAAATTTTGAGTGTGGAAAATTTTGGGAAAGGGGTGGATTAATAAAAGCATTTTGGCAGGGAAAGGGAGGGGAGGGGGTTTTTGAGGTGGTTTGGTCAAATTTTTGAGAGATGGTAAAGTAGAATGAATGGAAAGCATATAAATCTATAGGGAAAGGGAAAAAGGGGTAGGGGTCGCCTCGGGAAAGGGGTTTGGTAGAGGGGGGAAAGGAGGTTTTTTGGGGGAGTTTTCTTGGATTTCCCCCAAGGTGCTTGGGGGTGTTTTTGAAAGGGGGTGAATGGGGGACGAATGATACTTGGGGCCTGACGATCTGTTTTTTAGTGTGAGCAGGGTAATATTTAGGAAGGGATTTAGGGAAACCGGTTATTTTATTTTAGTTTGGGCTTGAGTCCTGGAAATGGGAAGTACAATGCCTGCACTTTTAAAAGGGGGGTTTGGGATATTGGCAGTTTGGAGGGATTGTTGGGGTATCTTTTTTCGTATTTTTTTCTAAACGGGTTTTATTCTGAGCAAACCCCTGCAAAAAGAAATGATAATGTGTGAGTGTGGGAAAGTGTTTTAATGATGATGGAAAATATTTTCTTTTTGGGGTTTTTCTTTCTTTATTTTTTGGGGCACCCGCCCCGGTTTGGGGGAAACGCCCCACTTGTTGAAAAAAAAAAAAAAATTTTAAAAATATATAAATATATATATATTATTTTAAAAATTTTATATTTTTAAAATATATTTATATATTTATATATTTTTAATATTATATATTTAAAAATTAAAAAAACCCAAATTTTAATAAAATTTTTTTTTTTTCAACAAGTCGGCCGTCCATACCCAGGCCCGGGTTTACATAAAAAAAAAGAAAAATCCCAAAAAGAAAAAAACATTCATCATCATTCAACACTTTCCCCACACTCACACATTATCACGCTTTTGCAGAGGGGCTCGAATTACAACATTTAGAAAACATATACTATAAAGATACACAAATATCCCTCCAAACTGCCAATATCCCCAAACCCCTCCCTTTAAAGTGCAGGCATTGTACTTCCCCTTTCCCGGGGGCTCAAGTCCCACTATATGAAAAAAAAACCGTTTTTTCCCGGGTTTCCCCTTTACTAAATTTTTACCCTTTCTCCCCCCCAACGATCGTCAGGGCCCAATATCATTTGCTCCATTCACTCCTATCTAACCGCTCATGCACGTTTTCTGGAAATCCAAGCAATCGCCCCAAAACCTCCTTTTTTCCCCCCCTATCCAACCCTTTCGAGGGGCGACCCCCCACCCCCCTTTCTTCCCCTATAATTTATATGCTTTCCCCTGTCATTCTTTCTTTGATCCAAATTTTTCTAAATTTACCAAAACCCCCTTCAACAAACCCCCCTCCTGCCTTTGAATAACGCTTTTATTAACTCCACACCTTCTCCTAATTTCCACATCCAATTTTTTTGCTAATATTTCAACCCACATTTCCCTTTGAAGGACATCTCCCCTGCCCCCCAAACCCTCTCCTTGCTGCTGCCCCTTTACCACCCAAAACTTCACATTTCCCCTATAAGAGTGTTTTGGGACTAATATACTTTCATACATTCCCCTTTTTTGCCTCCATAGATAACGTTTTTTGACTCCACATATCCTCAACCACCATCACCTTTTTCCCTCATCAATTCTATGATTAACCTCCCTCCTTTTAAAACCCTCCGCTGACCCGTCAACTCCCAAGTACTGGGGGAAAAATTTTTTTCTTCAAACTCCTTTCCCAAAAAATTTTTTACCTAATTTTTTCCCTTTAAAATTAAAACCTTTTAAACCCCCAAAATTTTAAAAAAAAATTTTTTTTCCCCTTTTAATTTTTATTTCCACAAAAAAAACTCAAATTTTTCACTTCCTTTTTTTAAAAATTTTTTTTGAATTAAAGAAGGGGTTAGGGTTTTTAAAAAAAAGCCCTTCCCCTTGGAATTTGGGTCCTTTTTTATTTTTTTAATCCCACCC